CAACCTCAACCTTTCCACCTTCTTGGCCAGCACCCGAGTCCCGCCGGCTCCTCTGCCTCTGGCCGGAGCCCCCACCCCTGCCTGCGGCTGAGTCACCTCAATTTTCATGGGCAATAAACTGTAAAATGGTGATTTTTTTTGGTTGTTGTTGTTGTTGGCAGCGGCGCCCAGGAGCGATGACTCGGGTCGTCCCCGGAGAGGAAGCGGGGTCGGAGCATCGTGGCAGCTGCCAACAGCTCGCAGGCACCGTGGCACGCGCTGCCTGCCCTTTGCACCCTCTGCATCGCCGGGGGTGTCCCCAGGGATGTCCCCATCCCTAGGGAGGTGTCGGAGCTCTGGGTTCTCCCCGGGGCTGGAGAAGGCTGCCGTGGCCTCGCTCCCAGTGCGTGCGATGGGGCTGCGGGTGCCTGGAGCTGTTTCGGGGAAAGGGTGGGTTTTGTTTGTTCTTGGCCTTCCTATTTGGAAGAGGAAAACCACTTTCAGCTGCCAGCGGGATGCGGTGGCCGGACACAGCCAGGGATGTGTTTCCCTGGGCTGGGAGCGAAGCCGGGGTCACTACATGCCTGCAACGGTGGCCAAATCCACCCGCTGAAGCCTTTGGCTTCTGGGGGTGCCTCTGCACCCCAGCACATCCCTACAAGGGGCACCTGCGAGGTCCCCCTCCTCTGTGGGGCGGTTTGCCAGGGCTGAAGGCTTTGGTTGCCCATGACCATGGGAGCCTCATGGGGCTCGGGCAGGGGACCAAGGCCACGGCTGGTGGCCCTGACGGAGGTGTGCCATGTCCTTCTAGCACGGGGAGCAGCGACCCGTACTGCATTGTGAAGATCGACGATGAGACCATCATCAGGTGAGTGGCTCCATGTCGCTGGTTGGTCCCCAAACCTGCTGGCACACCCTTCTCGTGGCAGGTTCCTCCATCTACCCCGCTGCAGGCACATCATCATCATCATCATTATTATTATTATTATTATTACTCCCTGCTTTGCGCTGAGCCACTCCTCCAGACACAGGCTGTGATGTCTAACAGCTCGTTGCCACCCCACCACCCTGTAAGCCACCTTCCCTGTCTTCCCAGCCCAGAGCCACAAGAGGGGACAGGGACTGGGACCCATCCCCTGCCCCGGCTGAGGGTTCGAAGCAGTGGGTGCTGCCCCCAGCCATGTGTCACCAAAAGCTGGGGAGCTCACGGGGCTGGGGAGGTGGGGAGTGCCCTGGAGAGGAGGGTCCCATCCCCACCGTCACCGGTGCTCTTTGCCCCACAGGACTGCCACGGTGTGGAAGACGCTGTCCCCGTTCTGGGGGGAGGAATACGAGGTGCACCTCCAGCCCACCTTTCACAGCGTCTCCATCTACGTCATGGATGAGGATGCGCTCAGGTGCGGGAGTGTTGGCTGTGGGGCAGTGGGCGTTCGGCATGGGGACGTGGAGGTTGGTGGCTTTGGCTGCCTGCATGCTCAACCCCATTGTAGACACCAGAGAATCCACACCTGGCCGTGCTGGCTTGGGCTTTGGGACACAAATGGGTGAAGCTGTTTCCCCAAGGGGGTTTTCCAGGTGGCAGCAAAG